AGCTGTGTCTCTCTCTGTCATATAAATAAATAAAATCTTTAAAAAAAAAAATTGTTTCAATTGCTCTTGAGACTTTAGGTAAATCAAGGACAGAGAAGGGGCTTTGGAAATGGCAATATTAGAAGTCATGGGTAATGTCATTAAGAAGACTTTCAGTGAAGGGGGGTGAGGACCAAAACCTGATTGAAGTGGGTTTATTTTGTTTAATATTGTTTTTTAATTTCAATATAGTTAATGTACAGTGTTATATTAGTTTCAGGTGTACAATATAGTCATTCAATTCTGTACATTTCTCAGTACTATTTAATCCCATCACCTGTATCACTTATCTCCCCCCCACCCCGTAACCATCTGTTCTCTCTTGTTAAGTCTGTTTCTTGGTTTGTCTCTTTTCCCCCCCTTTGCTCATTTGTTTTGTTTCTTAAATTCCACATATACATGAAATCATATGGTATTTGTCTTTCCTGACTTATTTCACTTAGCATTATTCGCTCTAGCTCCATCCACTTCTTTATCCGTTCATCTGTCGATAGACATTTGGGCTGCTTCCATAATTTACCTATTGTAAATAATGCTGAAATAAACATAGGGGTGCATGTATCCCTTTGAATTAATGTTTTTGTATTCTTTGGGTAAATACCCAGTAGTGCGATAATTGGATCGTAGGGTAGTTCTATTTTTAACTTTTTGAGGAACCCCCCATACTGTGTTCCAGACTGGCTGGACCAGTTTGCATTTCCACCACCAGTGCAAGAGGGTTCCTTTTTCTCCACATCCTTGCCATCACCTGTTGTTTCTTGTGTTGTTGACTTTAGCCATTCTGACAGGTGGGAGGTGACAGCTCATTGTACTTTTAATTGCATTTCCCTGATGATGAGTGATGTTGAGCATCTTTTCATGTGCCTGTGGGCCATCTGTCTGCCTTCTTTGGAGAAATGTCTGTTCATGTCTTCTGCCCATTTTTTAATTGGATTAGTTGTTGTTTGGGTGTTAAGTTGTATTAACTCTTTATATTTCTTGGGTACTAACCCTTTGTGGGATATGTCATTTGCAAATCTCTCCTCCCACTCAGTAGGTTGCCTTTTAGTTGATTGTTTCCTTCACTGTGCAGAAGCTTTTTATTTTGATACAGTTCCAGCAGATTATTTTTGCTTGTTTCCCTTGTCTCAGGAGACCTCTAGAAAAATGTTATGGCCAATGCCAGAGAAATTACTGCGTGTGCTCTCTTCTAGGATTTTTATGTTTCAGGTCTCACATTTAGATCCCTAATCCATTTTGAGTTTTTGTGTATGGTATAAGAAAGTGGTCTAGTTTCATTCTTTTGTATGTAGCTGTCCAGTTTTCCCAACATCATTTGTTGAAGAGAACTGTCCCATTGCATATTCTTGCCTCCTTTGTTGTATAGTTTCAGATCTCACACTGAGGTCCTCAGTCTATCTTGAGGGTTTTTTTGTGTGTGTATGGTGTAAGAAAGTGGTCCAGTTTCATTCCTTTGCATGTAGCTATCCAGTTATCCCAGCACCATTTGCTGAAGAGGCTTTTTCCCTTTGTATATTCTTGCCTCCTTTGTTGTAGATTAATTACCATGTAATTGTGGGTTTATTTTTGGACTCTCTATTCTGTTCCATTGATCTATGGGTCTATTTTTGTGTTAGTACCATACTGTTTTGGATTACTACAGTTTTGTAGTATATCTTGAAACCTGGAATTGTGATACCTCCAGTTTTGTTTTTCTTTTTCAAGATTGCTTTGGCTATTCAGGGTCTTTTGGGGTCCCATACACATTCTAGGATTGTTTGTTCTAGTTCTGTGAAAAATGCTGTTGGTATTTTGCTAGGGATTGCATTATATCTGTAGATTGCTATAGGTAGCATGGACAAGTTAATATTTTTTCTCCCAATCCATGGGCATGGAATATCTTTCCATTTGTTACCTTCCGTTTCTTTCACCAGTATTTTATAGTTTTCAGACCAAAGGTCTTTCACCTCTTTGGTTAAGTTTATTCCTAGGTATCTTACTGTTTTTTTGGAGCAATTGAAAATGGGATTGCTTTCTTAATTCCACTTTCTGCTGCTTCATTATTAGTGTGCAGGAATACAACAGATGTCTGTATATTGATTTTGTATCCTGCAACTTTACTGAATTCATTTATCAGTTCTAGTAGTTTTTTTGGTGGAGTCTTTAGGGTTTTCTATATATAGTATGTCATCTGCAAATAGTGAAAAGTTTTACTTCTTCCTTACCAATTTGGATGCCATTTATTTCTTTTTGTTGTCTGATGGTTGTGGCTAGGACTTCAGGTAATAGGTTGAATAAAATTAGTGAGAGTGGCCATCCTTGTCTAGTTCCTGACCTTAGAGGAAAGGCTGTCAGTTTTTCCGCATTGTTAGATGTGAGGTTTTCCGTATAAGGCCTTTATTCAGACCTACTTTGTTGAGGGTTTTTATCATGAATGGATGTTATATTTTGTCAAATGCCTTTTCTACATCTACTGAAAGGATCAAATGTTGATTGACTTGCGAATATTGGACCATTCTTGCAGGCCAAGAATCTCTCTTGATTGTAGTGAGTGATTTTTTTTTTTTTTAATGTGTTGTTGGATTCGATTTGCTAGTATTTTGTTGAGGATTTCTGCATCTATGTTCATCAGAGATATTGGCCTGTAGTTATTTTTTTGTGGTGTCTTTATCTGGTTTTGGTATCAGGGTGTTACTGGCCTCATAGAATTAATTTGGAAGTGTTCCTTCCTCTTCTATTTTTTGCAATAGTTTGAGACAAGTAGGTATTAACTCTTTTTTAAATGTTTGGTAGAATTCGCTTGTGAAGCCACCTGGTCCTAGACTTTTGTTTGTAGGGACTTTTTGATTACAGATTCAATTTCATTGCTGGTTATCAGTCTGTTCAAATTTTCTGTTTCTTCCTGTTTCAGTTTTAGTAGGTTATATGTCTCTGGGAATTTATCTGTTTCTTCTAGGTTGTCCAATTTGTTGGCATATGGTTTTTCATGATCTTCTCTTAGAATCCTTTGTATTTCCATGGTGTTGGTTTTTTCTCCTCTCTCATCTGTGATTTTACTTGGCCTTTTTTCTTTGAGTCTGGCTAGCGGTTTATCAATTTTGTTGATCTTTTCAAAGAAAAAGCTCCTGGTTTAATTGTTCTTTTTTTGTTTCTATATCATTTATTTCTGCTCTAATCTTTATTATTTCCTTCCTTCTACTGGTTTGGGGCTTTGTTTGTTCCTTTTTACCTCCCTTAGGTGTAAGGTTAGGTTGTTTGAGATTTTTCTTCTTGACGTAGGCCTGTATTACTATAAAATTCCTCTTAGAACAGATTTTGTTGCATCCCAGAGATTTTGGACCATTGTATTTTCATCTCCATTTGTCTCCACATATTTTTTTTATTCCTCTTTTTTTGGTTGACCCATTCATTGTTTAATAGCATGTTATTTAACATTCATATATTTGTGCTCTTTCCAGACTTTTTTCTTGTGGTTGATTTCTAGTTTTACACCATTGTGATCAGAAAAGATGCATGGAGGACTTCAGCCTTTGAATTTGTTGAGACTTATTTTGTGGTCTAACCTGTGAACTCTTCTGGAGAATGTTTTATGTGCACTTAAAAAGAATGTGTGTTCTGCTGTTTTGGGATGGAATGTTCTGAATATATCTGTTAGATCCATCTGGTCCAGTGTGTCATTCAAAGTCATTGTTTCCTTGTTGATTTTGTTTGGAAAATTTATCCACTGATACATGTGAAATGTTACAGCCCCCTGCTTTATTCTGTCAGTATCAATTACCTTGGTACTAATTGCTTTATGGATTTGGATGCTCCCATGTCCATGTTGTGTGTGTAAATATTTACAATTGACATATCTTCTTGTTCTATTGCTCCCTTTGATTATGCAGTGTCCCTTATCTCTTGTTAGTCTTTTTTTTTTTTTTGTCTGATCTATTTCTATGCTGGCTTTCTTCTCACTTCCATTTGCATGATAAGTGCTTTACATCCCTTCACTTGTAATCTGCATGTGTCTTTAGGTCTGAAATTATAGATGGGTCTTGCTTTTTTATCCATTCCATCATCCTATGTCTTTTGATTGGAGCCATTTAGTCCATTTACAGAAAAAATGGCATTTAAAATAACATAATGTAGCCATTCTGGAAAACAGATTCTCCTCACTCTTGGGGTTTGCTATATATCTAGGGTTTTTCTGAATTATGTAGTCTAATCTTTGTGTGGCTGAATTCTCTGATTAGCTTAGTGGTGAGCCAATAATTGGACACAGATTTCCTTAGATGCCTAGAACCATTGTCTTCCAGTCTTTGCAGAAGGGCTGTGTATGGGGGCAGGTCTTCAACATCCTGCCAAGCTGTTTACAACTGTTTTAGCCTTTACTTTCTGCTTGAGTGGAGCCTCAAGGGTACCCAGAAGTGAGGTCCTAGGACTCTCCCAGCTCTTTCCTGAGCATGTGCATCACACAACTTTATGCATCCATATTGCCTTCTAGAGTCCTAGGAACAGGTCACAGCATTTCAGAGACTGTCAATAGATATCTTATTCATTTTTCTTTTATCCCCCTGATTTTTGGTTATCCTATTGTGTTTTGAACAAACAGCTCCTTTCTGCATCTCTAGTAATTGCCAGGCTGCTGGCTTTAGCTGTGATTGTGGGCTCCTGGTTTTCATGGGCACCATAGAGTTGGAGGAGGGGGTGGTGGTGGAATGGGAATAGGGCAAGTTAAAATGCCACAAGGCTTACTGTTCTTGCCAAGATTTGGCCATTTTTTCTTGAAAATGCTTGACAGTTTCTGCCAGTGTTCTCATGGCTTTTAGAGAGAACTTTTAGATGTCCTGACTCTGCCGTTTTTAGTAATATCACCTGTGTCATCTTTTTATTTAAAACTGAAAATATATTGTCCAATAGGTTTTAAATAAGAGGTCTATTTATACTGAAAAGAACAGTGATGTAGTCTTCTAATAGTCAAATTTTTGTTTATTTGACAGAGACACAGCGAGAGAGGGAACACAAGCAGGGGGAGAGGGAGAAGCAGGCTTCCTGCCGAGCAGGGAGCCCGATGCGGGGCTCGGTTCCAGGACCCTGGGACCATGACCTGAGCTGAAGGCAGACGCTTAACGACTGAGCCACCCAGGTGCCCCGTAATAGTCAAATGTTTTATTGTGGAAAGAGATGTTGGGAAAAAGGCAATGAGGAAAGGATGAATTTTACATCCTGATTCTGTAAGTGCTCTACCTGGTTAGGAGGTACATGTAAAGATCAGCTTGGAGGGAGGGTTAAATGAAGTGGAAATATCCATATTCCTCAAGATTCATTAATAAATTGGGAATGTTATTAGGAATTAAGGTGGTCTCTGGCTATGTTAAACATCGAGGAATATTTTACTCTGGAAAATTCAACCTCCCTAAGCGCTTGAAAAAGTAAAAGGGCTTCCTTTTTTCCAACAAATTACAAATTAGAACAAAATCTCTCATACAGTGTCTCTTTAAGATTCTAAACTATCAGGCATTTAATCTTAAAAAGGTGTACTGGGTCACACCATTATCGGGCTGGTAGATAATAAGCACTGAAATGCAATGTCTACCCTCTAAAGCAGTGGTTAGTTCTGAGCCTTTTGCTGCCATGACATGCTTGATAAATGATGCTCTTATGTGGGAAACACTCTCAAGGGCACATTCATATTTTGACAAACATCTCCCAAATTTGGAAGTCATGCACTGTGATAATTTGTAATCATCAGAACAGTTAACTGCCCATCTGTAGTGGTGCCTCTTTGTGATCAATTGCAGAGATGAACTTGGGCTGTAGGGCAGGACCATTCTCAGCATTCTGCCTATAATGCCTTTCTCTTGTGTCCCGGAATTCATGGTTCTGTATATATTTATAATTTCAGCACTTTGGGCTCCAAAGACTTCAAGAAGATGACACCTACTCACCACACTCTTGCCTAGAAGACAATCAAATATTTGGTAGGTTTTAGATTATTTTGAAATATGAAAGTTAACCACAAGCATGGAGTCTAAAATTCAGTTCTGTCTTTTTGTATTTACTATTCAAGAACTAAGACAAGTTTCTGGTGAAGCATGACCCTTTGTATAAGCAGATGTTGAAAGGGGAATTCTTGTTTTCCATGCTTGAGCAGCAAGAACGGTAATAGAAGTTCCTGTGAATGGTTTTCATTTCTGTTCCTTTTAAAGTGTAATTAGAATGACAGTCTATCATGTAGGTTACAATATTTGCTGGTAAACAACTTATTCACATGTTTCTTCTGAAATGATAAGTGATTAAAATGCATGAGACCATTTTCTGGAATGAATCATTTAAGCATCCTTTCTGATGGTGGGAACTGAATTAGAAAAGTGAGAGCTTATACAACTTAAAAAACACCATATGAAGATACTTAAGTATATTTATGTAAGAGGATTTTTCCCCACCTCAAACATTTGCTAACACCAATAATTTGTTTTATGTAACATCCATTTTGAAAAATAAAAGCCATTTCCTGACCAGTGCCTCATAGCCCTTGGTGTTGCATTGTATCCTGGGCTTTCTCCTACCTTTTCCTGATTTTTAATTTAGGTGGAAAAAAGAATGGAGGGTGAAGGATTTGGGAACTGTGGAGAAGGGAATTCTAATAGCTCGTGTGTACTGAGAATATTGCATGAAAAGTGATGATTCCCTTTCTGCTTGGCAATGCAACTGAGCCTAGCTGACCTCCAGGTGTCTACCATACAATATCTACTCTGTGGAGGGAAAGCACCTTACCACAGAATGACCAGACTGTGTATCTTTACTGTGTAATAGATCAATGTTTTTAATTCCAAGGCCTCACAATATAAAAGTCTTACCCCTCTCAGATTGCAATGATTCCCAAGAGGAATGCACATTACATCCTTTGCAAATTTCTACCAGTCAAGAGGTCAGTCTTTTGTATAGTCTATATTATAAAAGAAAAAGATAAAATTATACATTTGGAAAACAAAAGTCATCTTAAATATGCTTTTATTCTATAAACAGTGCCCCTTCCCCAAAATGACAAAATGCATTGGGGGATGATGTCTTATTATCCATGGATGAGAATTACTGCTACAAATGAGTGGTCCCCAGATTCACTGGGGGTGGGCAGAACCTGTTAAACTTTACTAATAGTGAAAGTTAACACTGATACCAATCAGTTGAGAGTAAGTCAACACCTACCTGTGACATACTGAACCTGAGTGTTTTGAGGAAAGAAAGGGAATTTGAGTGTGGAAGGTTTAACAGTGGTACTTTCCTTCATTTGCTACTTTTTATCACATTGTAACTTAGGCAATTTACACTAATTTAAGTGGAATTTATAAGCCTAAGCACAACACAATAATTAGATTAAAATTAAGCATCTTTAATATGAAAATACCTGTACCATTAAGTTTTAGAGCCATGGAGTATTTAATGAAAAAAACTTAGGATCAAGCTAAAGCGGTTCTTAAAAACTTATGTTAGAAAAAAACAAAGCATTAGCTAAGCCTACACTTTGAGGAGTTAGGAAAAATAACAAAGAATGTAATAAGAACAAGCCAAAGCTAATAAAATAGAACACAAATACAATTAGAAAAGCTTTACAAAATGTTGATTATTTGAAACAATTGACAAAACTACCAAGATGGATTTAAAAAAGTAGTCTAATAAACCTCAGGAATGAAAAGATTGCTGCAGATGCAGACATTTAAAAAGATAATCCACTTAATGCCAATATTTATTTGAGAGAGAGCACAAGCAGGGGGAGTGACAGGGAGAGGAAGAAGCAGGCTCCCCACTGAGCAGGGAGCCCAATGCGGGGCTCCATCCCAGGACCCTGGGATCATGAGCTGAAGGCAGATGCTTAACAGAGCCATCCAGGCACCCCTAATGGCAATATTTAAAATTTAAATATGATGGAAAAATCTCTAGAAAAGTAACTGCTAGAAGTCAGTTCTATTAAAAGTAAAAATAGAGAACCAAAATAGTAAAAACTATTAAGGGAATTGAAACGATAGTTAAAAATTCTTCCACAAAGAAAACTCTGGGGCTATATAGTCTATAAAACAAAGGAAAATTTCTAATCTTCTAAAAATAATTGCAGAGAATTTTTTAAAATAGGAACTATTCTGGAATTCATGAAGATAGCATAATTTTGGTATACAATTCCAGTGAGGACAGTGTAAGAAAACGTATAGGCCGTTATAAACTTAGCAATAGTGTTCAAAAAGATTAATATTTCACAAGCAAGTTTTATGTATCCAAGGAATGCAAAATTGGAATACTAGGAAATGCACAATAAGGAGAAAACCCATATAGAATTCTATAGATGGGAAAGCATTTGAGAAAATTCAACATCCAGATGTAAAACATAGTAAAAATAAGGGACCTTCCATAAACTAATAAAGAATATTCACAATGGAGACAAAGTTTTCATTTGTATCAGCAACAAGACAAAAGCACCTGCCATCACTCCTATTAAGAGTGTCCTTGATATCCTACCTAACAGTAAAATAAGAAAAAAGGACTGGAATGAAAAATATTTTAATAGACAAAAGGCAATCGTATTTCAACATAGCACCAGTTAGAAGATCTATTTATCGGAGGGGTAGACGAACCATGAGAGACGATGGACTCTGAAAAACAAACAGGGTTCAGGAGGGGAGCGGGGTGGGAGGATGGGTTAGCCTGGTGGTGGGTATTGAGGAGGGCACATTCTGCATGGAGCACTGGGTGTTGTGCACAAACAATGAATCATGGAACACTTCATCTAAAACTAATGATGTAATGTATGGGGATTAACATAAGAATAAAAAAACCCCCACTATATATGCTAACATATAATAGGCTTTTAATTGATTTTAATAAAGTATTTAAAAATTAAAAAAAAAGATCTATTTAGAAACAAATACTGCTTACATTAAAAAAAAAATTAGGAAATTTTTTTTTTGAAGGTAAGAACCTCAGGAGGGGAACGAAAAGTACATTATTTGGAAAGATTTAAAACCTAAATAGAACATACTATGTTCCTGGCTAGGAAATCTCATAAAGATAGCAGTTTTCAAATGGATCTTTGGATTCAGTGCAAGTCCAATCAAAAACCCAACAGAAATTTCCCAAAACACCACAACAAACCTAAGTTTTGTTTGTATGAATGCCACACCTGTTATGGAACAGCAAATGCCAAAGAATGGCCAAGACACTCTTGATAGAAACTGTTAGGGAACAAGAAGTCCTGTCCCCTTCAGGGTTCCAGGGTGGACTAAGAATCAAAATGGACATGAGACAGATTAACAGGAAAAAAAAAAAAATTTAATAGTGTCCATATGGGGGAACCTACCCAGACATGGAAAGCCCAGAGACAGGCAAAATGGGGTGAACAGGTCATTTGAACTAAGGAGAAAAGGGTAGGGGGTCTGGGATTTCGGGGGAAAGGATTGTACTTCACAGGGTGATGAGAGAATTGTTTGGTAATTAGATGTTTACCCTGCCATACAGATGGCTCACTCGGATAAAATTAATCTCTGCCAGTAACTCTTGTTCTGGGGAAGACTACCAATTTAGACTCTTACATGTAGTTAAGGGAGGAGCAAAAATTTCTCCTGATCTCATAGGGTCTTGATTGCCTTCAGCTCGGAATAACCTTTATGCCAAAGTGGTTCATTTTGGGGCAGCCTGCCCTGGGCCCCTACAGTTACCTTCTTTGAAACTTCCATGAATTTTTAGACACAAAAGTTGAGCTGGTGCAGATATACCGAGGTAACTGCCACATCAGCATAACCCAGAAAATCATAGCGGCCACACTGAAAACGGTAGAAGGGCGGAGGTACTGTCAGCAACCAAACTAATCTGCAAGGCTAACCGCCAATGGGAGGGACACCACAAGCAAGGAGAGGAACAGACCCCACAACCAGGCACCCCAGACAGAGGGGTATCTACATGGGAAGACAAGTCCTCGTTTGGCTTTAAAAACCAGAGGGGCTTAACTTTGTGGGTGCTTAATAAGTGGGGCTTAACATCAGGAACCTTAAAAATCAGTGGGTTCAACTCAGGGCTGGAAAGCAATAGGAAATGAAGTCCCCACCCTTAAAGAGAACAGCATAACAAACTACGACCCCCAGATACAGCATAGAAGCAGCAGTTTGAAAAGAGCCGAGGGTCTATGGGGAAGGAGTTGTATTCACTCATCTCAGAACTGGTGGTGAAGGGGCAGGGATCTTTAGGAGACATCTCAAGAACAAAGAGCTGATGGTGTCTCTTCTCTCCCCTGCCCCCTGCCCCCAGCCTAGATACACAGACGCCAGCGGGAACCAGTGTGGAACGCTCGCCACCTAGCTTTTGCTAACAGCATGCCTTGCTCCTGAGTTCTCCTGAAGACTGTCCCATCCAACCTGCCTCACTCCAAAGGCCTCCCTCCAAAGCGATACCACAAGGGCCTCATTGCACAAACAGCCTCAACAGGGGTCAGCGCCACCCCGACGTGACTCTTGCCCTGGGGAGAGGAGGAGATACCCACACACACACACAGCAGTTCAATGGCAGCCCCAGCAAGGGGCGGCAGGCAGACGTCAGACTGCCTGCCCCCCCCCACCAACAGAAACCTCATAGGGTGGGGGCAGCACAAAGAGAACCCAGTAGTTCAGGGTCACTGCAGCCACCATAGAAGACTGGGGACAGACATCTGCTCTGACTCCTGACCTTGCCCACCAATGAAAGCCTCTTGGGGACAACAGAGGGAGAGAACCCTGTAGTTCAGCGCAGCCACAGTTCCAGCAAGTGGGCTGAAGGCAAGCATCTGGTCTGACCTAACTCAAGCCCAGAGTGGCCCCAGACTGGCACCTTAACAGCACAGGGACCAAACCCTGATGACAACAACTGGCCTAAAGGCAAATGTGGCTCAAGCAAAACAGTAGGGTGCATGCAACACACATAGGAGACACCCCTGGAACATCAGGTTCTAGTGAGGAGGGGACTGCACTACGGGGCATTTCAGGATCTCTTCATAAGGCCACTACTTTCAAGATCAGGAGACAGAGCTTACTTTAATACATAGAAGCAGAATTAGGAATTATGCCCCAAATGAAACAAGACAAAAAAGACAATTTAATGTAATTGTCATAAAGATACTCACTGGACTTAAGCTTGAAAGATCTCCATGTGACCTTCAACAAAAATAGAATATATAAAAAAGAGGAGTGCCTGGGTGGCTCAGTCAGTTAAGCGTCTGCCTTCGGCTCAGGTCATGATCCCAGGGTCCTGGGATCGAGCCCCACGTCGGGCTTCTTGCTCAGCAGGGGGCGAAGAGTTCTGAAACTAAAAATACACTAGAGTGAATAAGTAGACTAGAGGAAGCAGAAAAACAGACAAGAAGCTAGAAGACCGTAATGGAGAGGAACCAAGCTGAACAGGAAAAAAAAAAAAAAATAGGTTAAGAGAACTCAGCAACATCATGTGTAATAATATTCACATTCTAGGGATCCCAGAAGGAGAAGAGAGAAAAAGGGGCAGAAATTTTGATTAGGAAAGTTTTCAGATACTTAATCTGGGGAAGTATCTAAAACTTTCCAAAATCTAGGTCCAGGAGGCACAGAGAGCCACCAAAAAGAAAAAAAAAAAAAAAAAAAAGGAGGTCCACACCAACACACATAATTAAAATGGCAAAAAGTAGTGAGAAATTTAAAAGCAGCAAGAGAAAAAACAATTACATACATACAAGGGAACCTCCAGAAAGCTGTGAGCAGATTTTTCAGCAGAAGCTTTGCAGTCCAGAGGGGAGTGGGATGGTATGTTCAAAGTGCTGAAAGAAGAAAAACCTGCAGCCAAGAATACTCTATCCAGCAAGACTATCATTCAGAATACAAGGAGAAATAGAGTTTTTCAGACAAATAAAAGCAAAAGGAGTGCATGGCCACTAAACCAGCCCAACAAGAAACACTAAAGGGAATTCTTTGAGTGGGAATGAAAGGCCATAATCAGGTATAAGAAAATTAGGGAAGGAAACAATTTCTCAGGCACATGAAAACATAAAGTAGATTAACCAGTGTATAAAACCAGTATAGAGATTAAAGCACAAAAGCAGTAAAATCAATTAGATCTATAAAATAGTAAATAAAGGGACTCACAAAAGAATGTAAAGTATGACATCGTATACATAAACGTGTGGGGGTGGGGAGAGTAAAAGTTAACTTGTCCATGCTACCCATAGCAATCTACAGATACAATGCAATCCCTAGCAAAATACCAACAGCATTTTTCACAGAACTAGAACAATCCTAAAATTTGCATGGAACCACAAAAGATCCTGAATAGACAAAGCAATCTTGAAAAAGAAAAAACTGGAGGTATCACAATTCCAGATTTCAAGATATACTACAAAACTATAGTAATCAAAAACAGTATGGTACTAACACAAAAATAGACCCATAGATCAATGGAACAGAATAGAGAGCCCAAAAATAAACCCACAATTACATGGTTAATTAATCTACAACAAAGGAGGCAAGAATATACAATGAGAAAAAGCCTCTTCAACAAATGGTGCTGGGAAACCTGGACAGCTACATGCAAAGGAATGAAACTGGATCTTATACACCACACACACACACACACACACACACACACACACAAAACCTCAAAATGGATTGCGGACCTGTGTGAGATCTGAAATTATACAACAAAGGAGGCAAGAATATGCAATGGGACAGTTCTCTTCAACAAATGTTGGAAAAACTGGACAGCTACATACAAAAGAATGAAACTAGACCACTTTCTTATACCATACACAAAAACTCAAAATGGATTAGGGATCTAAATGTGAGACCTGAAACCTAAAAATCCTAGAAGAGAATACATGCAGCAGTTTCTCTGCCAGTGGCCATAATATTTTTCTACAGGTCTTCTGAGGCAAGGGAAACAAAAGCAAAAATAATCTGTTGCAACTACATCAAAATAAAAAGATTCTGCACAGTGAAGGAAACAACTAAAAGGCAACCTACTAAGTGGGAGGAGAGATTTGCAAATGACATATCCCACAAAGGGTTAGTACCCAAGAAATATAAAGAGTTAATACAACTTAACACCCAAACAACAACTAATCCAATTAAAAAATGGGCAGAAGACATGAACAGACATTTCTCCAAAGAAGGCAGACAGATGGCCCACAGGCACATGAAAAGATGCTCATCACTCATCATCAGGGAAATGCAATTAAAAGTACAATGAGCTGTCACCTCCCACCTGTCAGAATGGCTAAAGTCAACAACACAAGAAACAACAGGTGATGGCAAGGATGTGGAGAAAAAGGAACCCTCTTGCACTGGTGGTGGAAATGCAAACTGGTCCAGCCAGTCTGGAACACAGTATGGGGGGGTTCCTCAAAGAGTTAAAAATAGAATATCCTAAGATCCAGTAATCGCACTACTGGGTATTTACCCACAGAAAACAAAAACACTAAATCAAAAAGATACAAGCATCCCTAGGTTTATTGCAGCATTATTTACGATAGCCAAGATGTGGAAGCAGCCCAAATGTCCTTCCATAGATAAAGATGTGGTATAAATACAGAATGGAATATTACTCTGCCATAAAAAAGAAATTTTGACATTTGCAACATAGAAATATAATTATATCCTCTAGATCCATCTGAGTGAAATAAGTCAGAGAAAGGCCTATCATAGGATTTCACTCATAAATGGAATTTCAGAAATAAGAGAAACCAAAAAACATTGAACTATAGAGAACTGATGGTTATCAGAAGGGATGTGGGTGGGGATATGGGTGAAATAGGTGATGGGGGTTAAAAGTACACTTACTGAGCACTGAGTAATGTATAGAATTTTTGAATCATTGTATTGTACACTTGAATACTTTGTTACATTTGGATTAAAAATAAAGATGTAATTTTCTTTAAAAATTGAGCTGGTAGTTTCACTGAATTGGTCTCTTGGTCATCCTGACAATAATTAGTCTCTTGGTCATCCTGACAATAGTCAAACTCACTTTAGGAGGCAGTAAAGCAGGAGGCATTTCTATGGTCTATACATGAGCTGCTGTTGTGATTTCTCTGAAGTTTACATCAAGTCATTTATACTTCGTTCACAGGCCTTCAGGAAAAAGGGCAGTTTTAATTCTCAAGTTATTCCAAGTCAGCAAGTTGAAAGAAAAATAAAAATGTTAGTTTGGAAAGTTATAGCCAGACATTGGAGGATACTAGAAGAAATCAGGATCCAGTCCAGTTTATAATGGATAGCATTAAAATCTAATACCTACAAAGATGTAATCACCTGCATTTTTAAAAATGAAAGAGTTAAATTAACACTGGTTTGTGTGCAAAATTAGTTTAAAAACAAACTTGGCCTGAATATTTATGTAAGTGTAGCAGGAATACTGTTGGGTTAGGTGGATCTGAGATCTGGTCTGCCTCCGACTCCTCCCCCGAGATTGCCTTTATGCCGAGAATGGGATTCCTCATCAGACACAGAGAGGTCCGGCTCCTTTTTTAAACCCCGCTTTTCTGGAACTTTTCATAAGGTACCTCTAGACTGAACTTCTAACAGCATCTCATGGCCTGAAACCAAGCTAAATACTTGACATCAGACTTTGCCTACAATACCTATGGATTTGAGTAAATTCATCTCTTTGAGGTTTCTGCAACTGCCAGGAAGGGACCTTCTTTACTCACCTGGTAAGGCTGCTGGGAACTCTGTAATGAAAGTATCAGGCTGAGATTTCCAAGGGGCTTCACTTGCTCCATAAAGTCAATCTTAGTTTTTTTTTTTTAAAGCTGTCTGGTCATAAATGAATCTATGTATGTCTCTTGCAAATATTAAATTCCAGTCAAAGCCATATTTCCAGTTGTGTCCTAAGGAAAACATACTCTTATTGAACTTATGCAAATAAATATTGCCATAAAAATCTAAGAAAACCGAGAGACTGAATTCTCAAGGGTTCAGTTAGGGAGAAAAGATCAATGTTTCAATTTGTTCAAGGGTATATTTTATCAAATTGCTGTAAGTTAGCTTAAGAGAAAAAAGTTCACTTAAATCTGGAGAAAAAGATTGCTGGGAAGATGGCAGTGTAGGAGGACCCTAAGGTCACCTCGTTCCATGGATACAACTACTTAACTCTCACATTAGTGTAAATAACACAGAAATGACCTGAAGGCTGGGAGAACAGACTCTACAATTAAATATAGAGAAGCCACATTAAAGAAGGTATGAAGGGTGGGGTGCCTGGGTGGCTCAGCCATTAAGCATCTGTCTTCAGCTCAGGTCATGATCCCAGGGTCCTGGGATTGAGCCCCGCATCGGGCTCCCTGCTCAGCGGGAAGCCTGCTTCTCCCTCTCCCTCCCCCCGCTTGTGTTCCCTCTCTCGCTGTCGCTCTCTGTCAAATAAATAAATAAAAAATCTTAAAAAAAAAAAAAGGTATGAAGGATGGAGTCCTGGTGGGTTGCTAAAGGGACCATGGGCCATCTATGGGAGGGAGGGACCCATAGGCGCAGACAAGGGAGAGAAACAGACTATCACACTGAGGGGAGCCCACATGGGGAAGACAAATCACCATAACATTTGGTTTTGAAAACCAGAGGGATCAAATTCTGTGAGTTCTTACAACCAGCATGACTGAAGACCTGGAACTTAAAAAATGAGCAGGCTGAGTTCTGGGAGAGTCCAGAGGGTGATAGGAAGCTGAGTTCCTACCCTTAAAGAGACGGTACAACAAACAGCCCTGGGAGATACAGCATAGAAGCAGTTTTTGAAAATGCCTGAGACATTTGGGAGGGACTGTATTCATTTTGGAGCAGGTCCCAGAGGAGAGGGATAGCTAAGAGAATTCTCCAGGAACAAAGTTGCTGGCAGGTGCCATCTCCCTTCCCCATGCCACATCCAGCATAAATGTGCTGTCACCTGTGGGAACCACAGCAGTGTCAACATTTACTACCTAACTTGCTTACACCAAGCCCCATCCCCTACCCTTTGGCAGATCTGTCCTTTCCAGTCACACTGGTCTCAGTCCCAGTGCTACGGGTCCCCTCCCCCGGGACACTGGGGCAATCCCTGCCAACACCCCATGCATTTCGTGGGGCCTCGGTCCTGACAGCAGGCCCTGCAGAAACTGGAGGTGCACCCTGTGAAAATTGCACGCCACACCCACACACACTTTGCCGATATGCCCAGGCTGGTCCTCATCCCTTCTGTGGCAGGTCTCATTGCGCAAGCAGGACCAGCACACCACACCGCAGCTGGGGACCAAACACAGCCCAAAAGTCAGAGAGCACTCATGCAGATGAGGGGACTGATAGAAAAAAAGGGCCAGGACACAACAGCAAGGCACAAATAATATAAACAGCAGACAGGCCCCAAAGTGCCAGGTTCTGAGGACCAGGGAACATTGCACTGCAGGGCACTGTGGGACCTCTTCTTCATACAGCCATTATTTTCAGGAGCAGGAAACGTAGCCGACTTCCTTAGCACACAGACTTAGACAAGAGGAGACAGAGGAATAGGTCCTAAATGAAAGAACAAGATAAAGCCACAACAAGAGACCGAAGTGAAATGGGTATAAGAAATATGCCTGATAGAGAATATACAGTAATGATTATAAAGATATGTACTGGACTTGAGAAAAGAGTACAGGACATCAGTGAGACCCTTAAAAGAGATAAAAATAACCAACCAGAGATGAACACAATAAATGAAATTAAAACCCCACTAGATGGAAGTGTGCCTGGGTGACTCAGTAGGTTAAACGTCCAACTCAACCTCAGCTCAGGTCTTAATCTTGGGTCAGGAGTTCAAGCCCTATGTTGAGCTCCATGCTGGGCATGGAGCCTACTTAAAAAACAACAACAACAACAAAATCCCACACTAGAAGGAATAAATAGCAGGCTAGAGGAAGCAGAGGAACCAATTAGTGCCCTGGAAGACAGAGTACTGAAAAGTAATAAAGCTGAGCAGATGAGAGAAAAAAAAATTTATGAATAGGAGAACAGCTTTAGGGAACTCAGCAACTGCATCAAGCATTTTAACATTTGCATTGTAGGGATCCCAGAAGGAGAAGAGAGAAAAGGGGGAAGGGGGCAGGAAATTTGAAGTAATAGCTGAAAACTTCCTTAATCTGGGGAAGGAAACATATCCAGATCCAGGAGGCACAGAATTCGCCCAACAAAATCAATCCAGGGAGGTCTACACCAAGACACGTAATTAAAATAGCAAAGAGTAGTGATAAAGAGAATTTTAAAAGCAGCAAGAGAAAAGACGACCTTTACATACAAGGGGAACCCCATCCCCCCAACCCCTTGCCTGAGACTGTGAGATTTTTCAGCATAAACTTTGCAGGCCAGAAAGGAATGGGATGATCTATTCAAATTGTTGAAAGAAAGGAAAAAAAACTGCAGCAAAGAATACTCTATCCAGCAATGCTATCATTCAGAATGGAAAGATAGTCACTCAGACAAACAAAAGGTACAGATCATGACCACTAAACCAGCCCTACAAAAAACATTAAAGGGGACTTGGAGTGGAAAGGAAAGACCACAAGTAAGAGCAAGAAAAGTAGGAAACACAAAAGCAGTAAAAATAAGTATATCTGTACAAATCAGTCAAAGGACTCACAAAATTACAGTATAGAACCACATACCTAAAATGTGGGGTTTGGAGGAAGAAAAGAACGGGTTCAAACTTAAGCAACCATCAACTTAATATAGACTGCTATATGCAGAAGATGTTATATACAAATCTAATGGTGACCACAAATCAAAAAAACAGTAATAGAGGTGCCAAGAATAAAGAAAAAGGATTCCAAGTATATCACTAAAAACAGCCAGCAGATCATGAAAGAGGAGAGCAAGAAAAAGAAAGGGTCAGAGAAAAACTATAAAACCCACCACAAATAGGGGAAAGATGGTGGAGTAGGGGACCCTATTTCAACTGGTCCCTGGAATTGAGCTGGATATCTACCAGACCACTCTGAGCACCCACGAAATCAGCATGAAATGTAAGAAGATCTGGATCTCTACAAACAGAATATTGCAGGTGGTTGGTTTTGAGGTAGGAAGTGGAGAGCCGTGATTCTGCGGGCAGATATCGGAGGATAAACGGCAGCGGGAGGGAGCCTGACCGTGGGGATCCTACACCACCAGTGAGTGACAGCCTCACGAGCTGGGGACGGGGCACAGACTCGCAGACCAGTAGTGGCGGGGAAAGGACTGTAGGGCAGCCCCCCAGGGTGGAAACCCGGAGCGGCGGGGTCGTGTGCGTGCGTGAACTGGGAGCGGCTGGCGGTTTTAGAAGCACAAAGGGCAGAGATGTGCCCTGACCTGGAGGCAGGACTGGGACCGCTGCAGAGGGGCGCACAACCCAGGACGCTGCAGTTTATAGCAGCACAGACAGAAACGGAGACCGTGTGGCCTGGAGAGCTCACTGAAGAACAGACTGCGGTCTCTCTGCTCTGAGGCAGAGGGTTGGAAACGGTCTCTTCTGCTCTGACTCACGGAAGAGACGTGGAAAGCCGCCAGAGAACAAAAGCCCCAAAAACTGATTCCTGCTGAGCCCATCCCCCGCCACAGGGGCACAGGGCAACTCCATCCCAACAGGGTTGCCTGAGTAACAGCGCGGCAGGCCCCTCCCGCAGAAGACAGGCTGGGAAAACAAGAGGCCAGCAACCCTAAGGTCCCAAGAAAACAGGTGCATCTTGCTTGGGTTCTGGTCAATAATTTGGACTCTGTGCATTCCCTCAAACACCCATCAACAGAATGACTAGGAGGAGGAGCCCCCAAAATAGAAAAGACTCAGATTATGACTTATGCTGCAAATTTACAAATGGATGCAGATATAACCAAGATGTCAGAGATGGAATTCAGGCTAGCAATTGTGAAGACAATAGCTAGAATGGAGAAATCAATTAATGGCAACAGAGTCTCTAAGGGCAGAAATAAAAGGTGAATTGGCAGAACTTAAAAATGCTATCAGTGAGATCCAATCCAATCTAGATAATCTAACAGCTACGGTAACTGAGGCAGAAGAGCCAATAAGCAACCTGGAAGACAATATAATAGATAAAAAGGGAAAAGAGGAGGCCGGGGAAAAACAACTCAGAATCCATGAAAATAGAATCAGAGAAATAAGTGACACCATGAAGCGTTCCAATGTCAGAATAATTGGAATCCCAGAGGGAGTGGAGAGAGAGAGAGGACTAGAAGGTGTATTTGAGTAAACTGTAGCTGAGAACTTCCATAAACTGGGGAATGAAACAAACATTCCAGTCCTAGAGGCAGAGAGGACCCCTCCTAAGATCAAGGCAAACAGGCCAAAACCCCGGCATGTGATAGTAAAACTCGCAAGTCTTAGAACCAAGGAAACCACCTTAAGGGCAGTTAGAGGGAAGAGATTCCTTACGTACAGAGGGAGGAACATCAGAATAACATCAGACCTATCCACAGAGACCTGGCAAGCCAGAAGGGCCTGGCAAGACCTATTCAGGGTAATAAACGAGAAGAACATGCAGCCAAGAATACTTTATCCGGCAAGGCTTTCATTTAGAATGGATGGAGAGACGCAGAGCTTCCAAGACCAGCAGAAACTGAATATGTGACCACTAAGCCGGCCCTGCAAGAAATATTAAGGGGGGGGGGGTTCTATAAAAGGAGAAAGACCCCAAGAGTGATATACAACAGAAATTTACAGGGACAATCTATAAAAACAAGGTCTTCACAGGCAACATGACGATAAATAATTCATATCTTTCAATAATCTCGCTCAACGTGAATGGCCTAAATGCTCCCATAAAACAGCACAGGGTTGCAGATTGGATAAAAAGACAGGACCCATCCATATGCTGTCTACAAGAGACTCATTTTGAAC